TTCACAAGTTCTCCTGCACTACATAACAGTTTTACATATGTGGAATACTTCACAAGCTCTCCTGCACTACATAACAGTTTTACATATGTGGAATAATTCACAAGTTCTCCTGCATTACATGACAGTTTTTACATATGTGGAATACTTCACAAGTTCTCCTGCATTACATGACAGTTTTACATATGTGGAATACTTCACAAGTTATCCTGCACTACATGACAGTTTTACATATGTGGAATACTTCACAAGTTCTCCTGCACTACATGACAGTTTTACATATGTGGAATACTTCAGAAGTTCTCCTGCACTACATGACAGTTTTACATATGTGGAATATTTCACAAGTTCTCCTGCACTACATGACAGTTTTACATATGTGGAATACTTCACAAGTTCTCCTGCACTAAATGACAGTTTTACATATGTGGAATACTTCACAAGTTCTCTTGCACTAAATGACAGTTTTACGAAAATAAAATCCTTAGTTCCCAATACTTTCGCAAAGAACGTAGTTTATAGCACTCGGTGTGACTGATAAACAATACATTGTAGAGAGACAACTTCCGTTACAGATAAGGTTCAAGGAACACCAAAGTGACATTAAAAACTGTGCTTAAAAAGTTTCGGCTGTAGCTTTCTACGCTCAGGAAACCGACCATATAATGGACTTCAAAATGCAAACATAGTTAAAGAAAACAAAGAAGCTGTTGCTATCCGTGCACAAGACTGTGGACCACCAGAAGGTATTAACTAAAACAGGCAACAACCACTCAGTACTGTATCAGTGTATGGACACTACTCATCAGGTATATACAATATATCATTTGTCGTGGTATCGGCGCGAAATTATTTTTTTTTTCCTTTTGTGGTTGACTAGTGATCAATAATTCTATAATACATTATTTGCAATCTGAACATTTTATTATTCTGCATGATCCGTATGATTGTGTTTTTTTATTCTTATGTTTATTATATTGATGTAATTGTTTGATGTTATAATAGTTTAAACATCAGATTGTATAATACATTTATATCATTACACAGCTGCGAAGACGGGGGTTTTGAGTCATAATTTTGTATAAAAGTTTAAATACTTGATTGTTAATTTTGTACCTGTCATAATTAAGTTTCAGCAATTTCTACATGGATTGTTGGGATTGTTGCTCAGACAGCTGTCTTTAAGTGTTTCACAGATAAACAAATGTATATTATTCAGTACATCATTGTCGGATGAAGATTCCGGTAAAAGGGCTGAAAGCTCGCAATTAAAAAGTATTAAAAGTAGAGAACAGTCTGCATTTACATACGTGATG